GTTGTCACCTTGAGAGGTAAAAAGTATAACTATTGCACTGTGTTGTACAGCTGAAACTAATTCTAAAAAATGTGTATTTCACAATAAAAAAATAAGTAAGTTAAAAAATAAATAGCTTAGAAAAAGTGTCTTAAGAGACAAATACATTTCACAATGGTTATATTCCTTACCTTGAAGAATGAGCCTCAAGAAACTGATGGAAATGTTCAAACTCCAGTTTGTTGTTCAGCAGATCATTAAAATTAAAATGCTTATATTCTGCAGGAACATTATTCCAGTATTCTGTTTGTTTATAAACATCCGGAAGTGGTGATCTACCTGTTCCAATTTCACAAGTAGTGTCCTAGTGAAATAATACTTTTCATAAAAATCTCTTAAACAAAAAACATTATTTTTCAAATTTAAATAGAGAAACGGAAATAAAAATTAATATTAGGCCAAAGTCATTTAACAATTCAATGGTAGAACTGGGTAAAGAATCTAGAATCTAGAATCTAGAATGGTTCTAACTCATATCAAAGTCCTTCCCATTCCATTCCTATTCCTTTGCATTCCATTCCCTTCTTTTCAGGAACATTTAGTAAACATTTATTATATATTTATTTATAAAATATTAACTTTATTATTTTTGTTAGTATAGAAGTAATGTCTTTTGTAATAAAAAGAAGAAACAAAAAGCATACACAATCTACCATTCATCATTTACACACACACAGGGGGTGCCAAAAATATGTGTACAAGTGGACATTTTAGTCAACACTGCTCAAGCAGTAGTTTGCCATAATCAGGAGTGTCTGGATACCTCTTGTAATTGCACAAGTCAAAGATGACTTGTATTCATCTTTTGTTATCAGTACATATTGAGCATTACAATTCTAATAGTTTTTTCCATTCTTAAAATGTGTATACATTTTTTTTGACACCCTCTGTATATATAGTCTTTTTTGTTTACACATGTGTAGTTTATTAAAAATGAAAACAGGACTATATAATTATGTATGATTTTGTAACTTGGTTCTTTTTCTTAATAATATGTCAGGAATATAAAACATTTTTATCTATAACTTAATTTTAAAAGTTATAGAGTAATGCAAGATGATTTTCTAATAAAGATTACATTATTTAAATGTAATCTCCTTCATATAAAACTTAATTTGGGGGTATTTTAAAGACTTCTGATGTTTTACAGACAGTTTACAAGCCCTACAGGGCAAAGAGGTAGAAAGGCTTATTCTCTGAAAAACTCTTCCTTCTATAATTCCTTCTATAATTAATTTATCTCCCTATTTGTTTTTGAAAAGCATCAGACCATGAGATAACCTGCCAATATTTTCAAAATCAATTATCCATAGGTTGAAGGATAATGGGGAGTGTTATAGATGTTAGTTCATAAAGTCTAAAGTGCAACTTTATAATGTTCTACCCTTATGGATTTTTATGTATCCTTTCTAAGATATTAATTAGTTTCAAATAGAGAACTGTGTTAATGAGGCAACTACCATGAAGGTCATATTTTAAAAATAACTTTACTGTTTTTATAAAATCTTTTTGTAAAAGAATAAAAATTTCATATAGGTACAACGAAGAAAGTAAAGAATACCTGAAACCTTACCATTCAGAGCTGACTATCTTTACCATTTTGGTGAACTTCTTTCCAGATACTTCTCTTGTAGAAGTACATATGCAATTTTATACAAATAAGATCATACAGTATCACTGCCTTTCTTCCCTACATTTTTATATAATATGTCCTGAAAATTTTCCATGTCAATAAATATGAATCTAAACTCATTTTATATAGATATGCCTTTAACTTTATTGCTTTATGGATCTATCATGGTTTACTTAGCCAATCCAAAAGTTTCAAATTTATAAATCAAAATAATGCTTTCATATTCTAGTCAATCCTATGGTCTTTCTATTGACTTCCCCAAATTTTTCCCATATATTTTTTAATTGTTTTGCATATTGCTGTCACACAACATCTCCTTTTATGTTTGGAAAACTCAATTTAACTCTTTTGTGACTTGACAATACAGTTGCTGCCATACAGAAAATAACCAATAACATTCAAAGGAATATAATGTGGCTTGAAGGCTCCTAGCTAAGGCACACGAGTAGCTTGGCTCCCTGTATAACCTCATCTGCTTTTTTTCCCTGAATTTGTTGTTAGATGTGTCAATAAAATGTAACACAATAAAATGTACCATACTAGGCAAAGAAGCCCAGAAAAATGAATTTGCCTATTCCCTACTTTATCAATATAGGATATCCTCAGTATATGATCTCCTACTCCCCACCCCCCATCCCCACTAATATATGCAGTGGTAATTCTCTCCAGGATAAAAGTGTTTTTCTAAGTAGAGAGCTGTCTTACCTCAGGTTTCTTGGAAAATGTCTCTTTATGCAAAGCCTGAAGCTTTCTGAAGTTTGTGGAGTCTAGCTGTCGAGTTTCTTCTACCAGCTCCACCTAATAAAATAATTATAAAGCTTGTAACATCAATAGAATGTGCATTATGAAAAAGTGGGGAAAGAATGTACAATTTCCAATAACAGCAAACTAAAAAACAAACACACTTGCCAATAAAGTAAATTAGTTTGGAGGCAAGAGCAGGAAGACCAACATAGTAAAAAATATTAGCTACAGCAAAGTCAGATTTCGAATGTATGTGATAAAACAGTACATACATTTCTATGTAATGTGCCACCAAAAATCATTCCTCCTCTGTAGACACCCCTTGTGAACTAACAAACAATGCAAACGTGTTGGGTCACATTTCAAGTTTCTATTCATTATAACAGGATAACAGTCATGAAGGCAGATACCACTAGCTTTAAGGACCAAATAATCCACAGAAGAACAAGGAATGACTGGACTCCATTATGGTTATTAGTGTGTGAGCAAAGGTTTTATTGCTGTAGCAAGAGAGGAGAGTTAATCATCAAAGTAAAACTCATAGTAGGTCTCAGCCTTCAAGTGTGTATTGCTCTGTTTTATGTAGTCAGGAGAACAAGATCATTCTCCATTTCTCTATTTCGGGGAAAAATGAATTTGGCTGACTGAGAGCTTCCAATATTTAATAGGTGGTTTTGGTAGTCTCCTTGGTTATCCTTTTTGGGAAAGAGTCTATGTAAATCAGTCAATTGGACTTTTAGAGAAGTCCTGTGGGTTGAATTTAAGGACGTTTCTAGAATTAAGAGAGATTTGTTTTTCCTCTTATTAAAAAGAGTGTATAATTTATCCCATGCCCTTTTGTAAGAATCATTACTAATGCCAAAACATTTTGGTTGGGGGAAGTTAGTTATAATTCTGAATCTTTTTTATCATCCCAGGACCACATCTCAGGTCCATTGTCCTCTACACCACACATCATATTTAAAATTACTAGAGAGAATTTGTTTTTAATTTCATATGATATCATAATTTTCCTACTGTAATGTGTGTATTTTTGTGGTAGAAATGTTGCAATACTAATTTTTCAGGACAAAGAGAAATCAGGAATGAAAATTTAATCATTTTAGTCATTGAATTTAGTAAGCCATTAGGGTTGTTTTAGTTACAATTCAATCAGGTAACTCTAGCCAAGGTGTTTTGGTATTAATTTTATCTTAATTACCTAGCCGATCCTTTCTGGTAGAAGAGGTGACTAAGAAGCTTAAGAGGTGACTAAGAAGACTAAGTTGTTAAGGAGCTATGAACAAAGAATAGCAATACAAAGATAGCAGAGTCCCACCTGAAATGACCTCATATATAGGGTCCACGCATTATCTTAATATAAAAAATACCCATGGATGGTTTTAATTTGTGATTCAAAATAAATATTTAAAGAAATTTCCTCTGCCCATGAATATGACTAGTAAAATTATTCGAACACTGAGGCTTAAAATGACCTCCTTTGGAATGAAAAAAGATGTGTTGAAACTTTCACCCAATGAAGCAGTCTGACCTGATGAACATCTGGGGGGTGCTTTAAAATAGCAGCACTGAAGTCAGAGAATGTGCTTTCCACAATACATATGAAATGTTTATATTTTCCATGGGTGTAATATTTAATGTAATTCATCCAGCATAAAATTAAACGAGCTTTTCCCATTAATCAAAATTAAGGCCGCTGCTAAGAAATGGCAACAAGGGACAAAGCCAGTATATTATTATGGCATATTTTGTTGATTCACAGAAAATCAAAATTCATATTTCTCTCTGCTGACATATTTGTACAGAGAACTCAAAATGACATCAATTTAAGTCTTTTGTTAGGAGACAATAGGGAAACTGGCAAAAAAAAAAAAAGTTAATAAATACTTACCCTGCCCCAATTTTGAGCGTGCCCAAATCTTAACTCTGAATCCATGGCCTATGTGAGAACTTTTTCAGTTTTTCTCTTATGAGTTAACAACACTACTTATCATCAGTTTTGTAGTAAACCTGAATGGTTCACACAAAATTTATCAATGAGTGCCACAATACCTGTCTGTAAGCAACTTGGTCAGACTTTATCATCTTTGTCCAGGGCTCAAGTAGGAGGAGAAGAATATATTCTTCTGCTGTGTCAAAAAGGTCTTCAAAAGGTGGCTGTATTTTCATATAAATTTCTTTTTTCTTTTCCTGTTGGAGTCCAATGTCAAGAGTGGCCGAAGGAGCAACATATGTAGCAAAAAGATACTAAGGGAGAAGGAAGAAAAAGGAAAGGATGTTGGGAGAAATCATAATGGCTAACAGTTTCCTCAGTAAAGGTACTTTTTAAAAGGTAAGGAAGGCAAACAAGCTAAAGTGAGGTTTTTTTTTCTTGAAAAGATCTATAAAACTACGTAAGACAAAGCAATGTGTTTATTCAAAAGACTTTGCTTTTTATTTTATTTTCCTATTTCTTCATAGGTAATTAGCCACTTAGCCAGTAGATCTTGCACAAGAGTAGGTGATTTAGATATTCCAATTTTTCTCACATCACTACTGTGGATTATTATGATTGGTTCCGGGTTATATGTTTCCTTTTCCTCCTTATGCTCATGACATTTCTAACATATATGTGCTACTTTCCAAAGTGGTTTGAAATGCCCTTTTGAAAACAAGAGGCAAGAATACACTAGGGCTGAAAAACTGGTGGTTAGTCTTGTAGTCTAGAGACCCAGAAGACTACCTGCCTTACCCAACTGAGTTTCAGAATTCTTAAGACTGTTGCTACTTATCCCTTTCTGCTGTAAAAATGTCTCCATCTGTTGTCCAGTGCTGTGGAACAGATATAAGAAGGAAATAAGAATAAATGGAAAGATGTACACAGAATTCCAGCTTCCTAGACAAAGCTGCAAAAATGTTTATTTCATTCTACTCATTTGTCTTGTCTCTCAATAATAGCTACTTAAATCTGAGAAATATTTTAATAACATTTTATTTTTTAAATGTTACACACTGGATATGTCATGCCCCACACATCAAATTTAAATGTAGTTTTACTAAGCATCTTCTATTGTATTTTATTTCAATTGTATTTTTATACTTAAACTTTGGACCTGATAAATTCAAGATTCAACCCAGGCAATAGATAAAGAGATAATGATGATAGGTAGATAGATAGATAGATAGATAGAAGGTAGATAATAGATAGATTTAGCAAATACCAAATAATAGTCTTAGGTAAAATAATTTTTAAAAATGTTTTAAGGATTCCCATTAATAACACAAGCATTTACTGAGTATCCACTACATCTTAGACACTTGGATAAGTGTTATGTATGCAACTATTAATGAGTAAGACCCAATGCCTGCCCTGAAGAAGCCCATTGGTGGTGACATGGAGATGAAAACCAGTGGTTACAGTACAGTATGATAAGTACCACAATGGAGGTATGCATTACAAATAAGATCTTCAGTGATTATCTGTCCATTCTTTTCAAGCTCACCTCCCATTAATCACCTTATAAACTTTACACTCAATACCAATTTTTCTGTAATTTCCTTAAACTTTGCTGTTTTGCTACTCCATACCATTGCATATTGTTCCTTCAATCTAGGATAGTTACCCTACCCCATGCACCTTGTCTGCTTGATAAGCTCTAATTTTTTCTTTAATATCAGCATGGATTACTATTCCTCTAGGAATCCTTTACTCACACCCTCCTACCAAGATCATGCTTTTCTACTGCTACACTCATCACACTCTAATGCAATTATGTATTTCTGTGTCTTTTCTTCTGGAATGAGGTCCTTGAAGGCAAATACTGCAGCTTATTCATCTGTGATTCTCCAACTCTTAAAACTATTCTTGGCAGAGAATAGATGCCATAAATGTTTATTGAATTGTACTAAATCCACAGAAAAGATGCATTTATGTCTTGGAATGGGGAAGGAAATTGTTTAGAATTTCTTCCAAGGGAAGCTTCTCTTATCCTTAATACTTAAACCAAGTCTTTAAAGATGAGTTGGAGTCAATCAGACAAGAGAAGGGAGTTGATGAAAGAGATGGTTCAAGAAGGAAAATATGGGCCAAGGCATGGAGACCTAAGGGGTTTTATAACCTGTGGAGAGATTCTAGGCTTCAACTAGATAATGTTGACTAAATGAAAGAGAATGAGAGGATGCTGTAAAGGGTGGCAGGCACCAGAGCATGGATATGATCTTTTATTCTTTAGTAAGGAATTTGAGTTTTTATCTGAAGATATATAATGGGAAATCTCTGAGGCATGACATCATTGGATATGAATTTTTAGAAATAAATCACTGTGGCATCAGGAGTGAAAAATGGTTCTAGTAGATCAAGATTTGAGGCAGTCTGAAAGGTATTTCAGTAATCAAACAAGAAATTATCATCTTCATCTCTTGCCTGCTTTTTTTACAATAGCCTCTTAACTGGTTCTTCCAGGCTCCTCTTTGCTTTCTTATAGTCTTTTCTTACCACAGCAAATAGAGAAATCACTTTGCATATCACTCCTCTGCTCAAACTCTCCAGTGACTTCTCATCTCACACAGAATAATCGCCAAAGTCCTTTATAAGTGGAGGTTGTGGAAGTTTCTCAACGCTGATGTGATAAGGATTACTACAGTTTAGGACCTGCCAGTGGGGAAGCCCCTGTACACACCCTAGGCTCTTAAAACTCCCTAAGAGCAGGTGTGGACCAGGCATGGACTCTACCCTTGAGTCCATAAAATGCCAAGAGGAAATAACTTCTAACCTGTAATTATATACCTAGCAAAAATACCCTTCCAAAATGAAAAAAAAAATGATGTCATAAATTAGTAAACAGAAATAGCGCATTCATCACCAAATAATTAAAGTTAATTAATTAAAAGGAGGCCCTAGACAAGAGCAGGATGGAGTAGAGAATAACAGAAAGCATGAATATTTAGGTAAATATCAAGAAATATTGATGGTAAAATATAATCATAATGAATAAAGTCAGAGGAAACAGCAAAAGAGCCTAACTAAGGAAGAGAAGTCAGAAATGAAGTTGCAGGGCCGGCCGAGTGGCGCGATGGTTAAGAACTCGCTTGGGACGCCAGAGGGCCCCGGTTCCGATCCCACATATGAGGGCCAGTGACACTGCCCTCCACAGCT